CTTCATTGGAGAGCACCTCACAAAACGAGTCCGAATGCTGTGTTTCGGGAAGTTCTTGGAGCAGGTAGGATGAGCTCGTGTATAGGTGGTCACTGTTGGTACCAGGATATGGCGTTCTTTGACGACCCCAAGCACTCGCCGGGTCGCCTTACTGCGGCTCTTGCTACATATGCCCTCAAGATGAACGCTATCAGTGGTGTTCAGCTGGGTGCGTATACCGTGGAAATCATAGTCACTGTATAACTAATGCCAGGTGCTTATTGCCAATTCTCAGCGTCCCTTATAGCCGGTCTTATTATCGCTTTCTTCGGCTCGTGGAAGCTCACGCTGGTGATGCTAGCGATTCTACCTCTGATGGCCGGAGCTGGTGCGCACTTGGTCGCCTCTCGTTGTTGAAGAGCATTGTTCACTCTAGGTGGCATACAGATGGCAGTGAGCATTGGAATCGATAAGAATAAGAGCGCTGACTCCCTGGCTGCGAACCAGGTGGCCTCGGACACAGTTCAGAACATTAGGACGATTCGCGCTCTCGTGTCTGAGCAGTGGACTCGCAACTTGTGAGCCTACGCTAGTTTCACCCTGAGCAATGGTTGATGTCTCAGATTCCAAGACCTCCTTCATCGCGCTGTACCGTATCAAGCACGTCAGTCCAGTTGGGCTGCGCTTTGGTACGGCATTTCACAGGGGATTCTATTCTTCAGCGTGTCGCTGGGGTTCTGGTGAGCTCAGAATTAGCGTGTCTCCTGTTGTGATATGATGTCGCCTAGGTACGGCTCTAAACTGGTGCAGGACGAGGGGCTTACATTCGACAAGATGATTCAATCCTTGATGGGAGTCTTCTTAGCAGCTATGGCGGCCGGCCAGGCTCTAGCTTTCGTTGGGGACATCAACGAAGCCAAGGCAGCGGCACACGACATATTTGAACTACTTGATAGCGAGAGCTCGATCAACCCTTCAAGCGACAGGGGGAGGAAGAACAGTGTGTGGGGACCACAAGTGAGTTTTCTTTTCTGCTGCTGCTCGAAAATCAAATTGTGAGTTTTAGGGTACTGCGGTTCCGGCAGCGGTCAACATTACTTTCAAGGATGTGCAATTCGCGTATCCTCACAGACCAGGCGCTCAGGTCGGTAACATTATTTTCATATGTTGCATGTGGTTTTCAGATTCTATCTGGTTTGAGCTTCGAGATTGAGGCTGGTAAAACTGTGGCTTTGGTGGGCCCAAGCGGCGGAGGGAAATCGACTGTGTTCGCCCTTCTGCAGC